AGCATGTTCCTTACCTGAAAATCTACCGCACTGTTAGCAAGATGCAGTGACAGATGTAAAAAGCAAATTATTGAAGACATCTGAAATGTGGCAAATTCAGATGCAAACAAGTAAAAGCTGGAGGAAAGCTTTCTCTGTGTACTTCTGGTTTATTTGAAAGCATGGACCATCCTGCTTGCCACAGAGCCGGAGCCTGGGGGCAGCTTGGGGATTCACCGACCACAGGGGGCATCTTCCATCGTGCGCTGTGGGCCTCTATCCGCAGGAAAATGCCCATGTTCCTGCCTGCCCGAACCATTCCCCTTCTGTGGGGGAAAAAAAAAGGCGTTCCTTACCTGAAAATCTACCACACTGTTAGCAAGATGCAGTGATAGATGCAAAAAGCAAAATATGGAAGACATCTGAAACATGGCAAATTCAGATGCAAACAAGTAGAAGCTGGAGGAAAGCTTTCTCTGGGTACTTCTGGTTTATTTGAAAGCATGGAATGGCATTAACAGTTTGTTACGTTTTAGTGTAACAAGAGGATCTAGAATCTCTTGTCAAGTAGACAACGAGCTTAAGTTTCAGTTTAGTAGATTGGTGCTTTTTTGGTTTAGTCCCAGAAATGCATTTAAACAGTAAGTGTCCCTTTTGTCTTGCAGAGCAGAAACCATTTTTAGACATCTGAAAGCAGCCATGAGATAATAAAACCAACATTTACCTAATTCTTTGGAATTTCCAAAGAGCCGAACTTTGGAACTATGAGACGCTTATCCTTTTTCATGTGGATACATCTGCAAAGATTATCCCATGTTCTAGCAGAAACCCGTGAGTTGCAGGCACACTCAAGAACTATCCTCTGCTTCACTAAACCTGAGGAAGACTTATCTTGGTGCCCTTGAATCCGGGTGCCTTGGATCAGTGCATTTGGTCTTCTAATACAGTGGCCATTGCATAGAAAGTTCAGAGTACTGAGCCCATGCTGAGGTAATTCCTTCACATGTCTCTCTTGGTAGTAATAAAGGACATTGACTACATTCCTTATTATCAATGAGAACTAAACAGAAAATCTCTTTTTCGTATGGGAAATGTTTTATGAGGAAAAAAAAATCTTTATTTGAAGTTTTTCCTTTGAAAATATGGACTTTCATCACAGGATTTCTTTTGCTGATTTTAAAAGATCATTTTAGTTTTATCTTGACTTAAAATATTGATTTTTTTCACTGAACAAACAGTATGGCAAATTATTTTAATTTGAAAAGATTTCATTTTGTAACATTTATTCACTATGTTTTTTGTATATAAACATTGCATGGAAATAGAATTTTTCCAGTGGAACTGAAAAAAGTCTATAAAACTGCAACAAAAAAAAGGGTTTTTTGATGAGAATTTTTTGGCGTAGTAAATGCTGGGGCCAATAGTGGCTACCACTCTTCCAAAAGTCTGGAAAAGCTGCAATGAAGTTTTAGAACCTTTTAAACATCCCACCTAATACAGCAATAACGTTGCGCAGAGAGAGAGTGTGAAAGGATTATGGTGCAAACTGCATCTCAGGAGCACCTGAGCACAAACAATATGTTTGTTTAACTGACATCAGCTCCTCCATGCACGATTTTAAATTTGCAGAGAGCTATAAATAGACAGCACTTTCACTGAAAGCATTAAATGAGCCAACTGGGTACTCGCCTTTGTAACGCGGAGCAATGTGGAGTGATAATGAACACCATGTGTGTGTGATAATGGGGGCTGTAGAAAATAGATCTGGCCAGCTGAGTGAAAAGGAAATGCTAAAGAGGAAAAAATCTGAAGCCCAAGCCAAAACAAGTGACCTAGAGAAGCAAGGAAAGGTTTGTACTTGGGGCAGGCTGGAGGCCTGAGAGAGAGCGGCAATTCAGCGGGGTGTTTTTAAGCATATGCTCAAGGCCCTTCTTATTCAGCAAAAAAAGGAAACTTAAGCATATGCTCAGAGGTTAAGCATCAGCTAAAGTCTCATTGATGTCAATGGGTCTTAAACACATGCCTAGAGATACATATGTGCTGAAGTGCTTTTACAAATAAGAATGGACTGGGGATCAGGGCCTCAGTCCCTTGGCAGTTCATAGCAGGCTAACCCTGCAACCTCCTGGCTTTCCAAATTCTTCGGAGTCGATCTCATTTATTACACACGCAGGACCAGACTTAGCATGTATGAGCTTGCGTTACTGCACATAACTGCCGTGGGCCTTGGGTACTGAAATAAATAGCAATGTATAGACACAGTTATAACAGACAAATAGCTTTTATAACAATTTGCCCAAGCAATTCTCTCAATTATAAAAATTAAAGTATAAAATAACGCATCTTTTGAGCTGCTCAGTCAGCATTGCCATTACTAGTGTCAGAAAGCTGCCACCTGAGCGAATTCAAAGACAGAATAGCTAAGTAACTTACTGTGAAAGTGACTTATTATAATAAGTGAGTGTGACTTATTATAATAAGTAACTTATTTTGAAAGAGCAGGCAGCGCTCTTGGTTTATTGGCAGCCAATGGATCTATATTTAGTTGTGATCTTCACGAATAGTCCATGTAGCAATTGTGTAGCTGCCTGGGTATCAGTGCAACCACAGAGGAGCCTTTTCATTTCTTCGCCAGGCCAACTTCATGTAGGCCAGTTGTACTGAAATAAATTCAGAACTCAACAGCAATAAGTATTCCCTGAGTCTGAGACAGCAGAATAACATTATGAAGGGGTTCTCAACATTTTTAGATAAAGATCTGTCAGATTTAAGCGTGGCTTCTACAGCCTTCTGCTTTAAAATTCATGCAAACACACCATAAAGTGGCACGGGGAATTGTATGGTTAGGTTACCAGCAACGTCGAATCTATTTTCATGCAGCTAAAAACGGGATTTGAATTTATCAATAAAAATCCTTCCTGTGCATTTCAGTGAACCTGAACAACTACTTGGTCTCTGCATTTCATAATTCTCTGCGGATAAACACGCGGCAGAGGAAATGGTCATACAGACACGCTCCAGGAACAGCTGGGAGCTCCTTTAGCGCCGTGGAATCCCCCAAACGGTGGCCAGTTTTGCAATGCCCTGAATGCGACGGGAGCAACCGGGGGAGCCTCCGAGCAGCAGGACGTCGGCTGCGTGTGGCCAGGGCGCTGCTGTTCTCCAGGGAGGCGACAGCGGCAGCTACCGCTGTGCGAGCGCTGTAACAAAAAGACAGCTTCAACGAACAAAAAATAAGCTTGTTCTTTACAAATGTATTAAACCGGGCAAAAAATGTATTTTAAGAGCCCAATTAGCTTTACACACATGTCTTCTTTTTGTCACGTGACTTTTATTTTTTAAACTGGAGAGCATTACTGTTTGGCATTTCCTGCAAATACACTAAGGAAAAGCCACAGCAATATAGTATTTCTCCCATAGATGTTAACATTTAAGAGACTCACAAAAGTGGCTAACGTTCAATTTCTGGTTAAAATTTGCTCACTTTTTGCTTTGTTTTTTCAGATGAAGACAACCTGGTGAAAGCATTCCCACATTCCTTTTTGCACTTTTGCCATGACAAAACTTAGCTGACGTAGGCAAATCCAAGCTCCAAAAATATATATCTTGGTCTGACTTTGTTTCAAGTTTCTGCCTCTTTATTAACTATGGAAGAGCACCTCTTCCTCCTTGCCCAAGCAAGCTGCTGGTTATCATTCCCATCCCTCCAGTCGGTTGAATAACACATGATGCTGGCCTAGCATAAATACAAAACAGGTTCCTATGGAATCTCAAATTCTGTTTGTACATCCTACCACTGACCACAGCGGAACAATGGTGTGCCAATGATATGGAAAAAAATAACTCTATTTTCTCTCTCTTTCTGTGCGTGTGTCTGAAATATACCTAGCCCTAAAACTATTTTTTATAGTTATGAGGTGACAACTGAGAGCTAGCAGTTTGCTGAGTGAAAAAATGTTTGCATTTATCCTTTTTAGAGATATCCTATATAAATATATATATATACACACATATATGTGTGTGTGTGTGCAACAGCTATTCATACTGGATAAGGAGATGCATCTAATCAACTACAGTGGTTACTCAGTGGTAAGAAAAGGACTTCCTTGTTTTGTGCAAATTAAGAGACCCAAGCTTCATTTTTTAAGAAAATTGTTCAATTCATTTGTTCAGAAAAGGAAGCATTTTCAAGCAAAGCCTATAGCTGCACTAGCATTGTTTAAATAAACACCGTAGCAGCAGTTGTATGAGATCTCTGTTAATACCTTTGCCTATAGTTTTTAATAAAGAAATCACTTCCTCTAATCTGCTTGAACATATGTTATGTTAAAGCCACATTAGAGCAGCATCTTTACAGTTTTTGCAGAATCACAAACTTCTTGTTGAGGAATCTTTTTGAGGTCACCTAGTCCAACTCCTTGCCCCAAGCAGGACTGTCAGCAGCAGATCAGCTCAGCTGTGGCTTTGTCTAGCCAACTCTTCAAAACCTTCAGGGGTGTTTTGCCCACCTCCTCTCTGGGTAGCCTCTTCCAGAGCTACACTGTGCTTCCAATGAAAATATTTTCCTAATGCTCATTTTAATCTCCCAAGCTGCAGTATTTTGCAGTCACCCTTTATTTTGCCACTTGCCACTGCCAAGAATAGTTCAGCTCCATCATCTTGGTAACCTGCCTTCGAGTAGTTGCAGGCTACTAGACCAACTAGTAGTTGCAACTAGCAGTTGCAGGCACACCTTGAAGTCCACTTTCCACAGTCCACACTTGTCATTTTCTAGCCAAGAAATTACCATCGCTTTGTGTCATTATTTCTCCTGTGTCAAACAAGCAAACAAACAAACAAACAAAAAACAGTCAAAAGCAAACAGTTAGTTGTCTGTTGGTCTCTCAACCACAGAAAACCTGTTGTACTGTCCTGGTTAGAAGTGATGCCAAAACAGCAGGGCTGTACTTTTCTAAATACACATTTTCTAATCTGTCATCAGTCCAGTTATGCACTTCCCTCTTTAAGGTGGGAGAAAGAACTATATTATAATCTAATGGCCTAAATTCTACCCAAATCTCTCTTCTTTGGGCCTAGAAACATTCAGTAAATGACTGAAAGCAACTCATATCTTCTATTCCTTTATGTAGTTCCCTACTCAGTGTCTGACACCCCTCCAAGCAATCTTGACTTTGTCATAAGCAGAGATTGTGTCACTGATTGCATAAAGTTGCCTCTTCTCAATCAATAAATATGTAAATGCATTTTGAGGCTGAGGATGGAGGAGGGGGGAAGAGGTATAACAAGGTTCCCCCACTTTCCATGCCTGTTTTAGTCAGAGCCAGGGGTTGCCACTTCGGACTTGTAAAACATTTGTAAACAACATGCAAAGATTCTAAAAAGAAGAGAAAAAAAAAAGTCTTGGTAGTTGGCTTGTTGCTGGACTTGATTGTTTTTACGAGCATTCTGTTATAAAAGAAATTACACTGTTTTCAAGTTCTAGTTTTTGCAGGGTCAAAACAAGGGCTCCCTTTCAAAAAGAGAGAGAAGAGCACTGAAAATGAAGAAATGCATACTTTAGTAATGCTTCTCATAGCAAGAGAAAAAAAAACCCTCCTACAAAAGGATGCATAAAGCAAAACTTTCAGGAGTGCAAGATCACATGAAATAGACACATCTAACCTATGTGACTGCCTACCTTCTTACATATAGACAAATAAGCTATGCAGATGTTAGTAAGGACATACTACACTGTACTATACCAGACATGGTATCTTGACCCAGGCTAACACTCTTATGGGGATGCTAAGGACATTGCTAAAGAAACACAGAGCCTATTGTTAATCAGTTCTTTTAGCAAAACTTCCTTCACAGCCTTAGCTAAGCACTATATTAAATTGTGGAGAAATCACTAGAACTACTATGGTGCAAGTGACTTTTAAATCAAGTGCATCAGTTATACGGTATTTAGCACTGTGCTGTAAAGGGTGGTAAATGAAGGTGTCATAAATATCTGACTTTATCATCTGTTGACTCATAATCCAGATGCCAATGGGATATAAATCATGTAAAGCATGTTTCCAGATTAGGAAAGTCTGACTGTTCACTATTGTTCCAGCGAACCACATTTCTTAGTAGGATCAGGAGTGCCCTCTGATGGTAAATACCTAGTATTGAGAAGAGTAGATCACAGAAAGTGGCACATCCGAGTTGTCTATTCAGTACCAAATATTCTGAAGTGTTCTGCACTGTACGTTTATGGTCTTTTTTATGCTTACATATTTCAATGACCAATTTGCTTCATTGGAAATAAGTTTTTATAGAAAAATTATTCTTCCTTTTCAGCTATGTGCATTAATTTTAGAGGGTCACATATTAGAGATCAAACCTGACAACTGTTTTTCATATAAATACATGACGAGTTCACAGACACCTGGAAATTCAAGATATGCAACTGAAAGTCAGAAAACTGCATATATCTAGGAGAAAGAAAGAAAAAAAAAGGCGAATTCTCTGAAGAAGTACTTATGTGCCAAAATCTTGTCTATATTTTTTTCCAGCTATGTGAGCTATACTAATAAAACATGTTAACTCTCCCTACAAACCATGTCTCACTTATATCCTTAGTTCACCACCTCTACAACAGAACAGTGAGAAAATGGAAAATCAATTATTTTTTCCCCCTCTGCTCTGACTTTCCCTGTATTTCAGGTATTCAGCATCTCAATAATCCTTGCCATTTTTAATTCTATCACTTTAATATCAACTGCTTTTACAAAACAGTTGGCAGAGAGCCAGCTTCTTAGCTGGAGTTTCCTATGAAGACAACCACTATGCCCAAGGCTCAAGTCTCTCTTTTAACTGAAGAAGTACAGGACTACTGCAAATGCCTTTGGTGAGGCAAAACCCCCACACCTGATGTTAACCACACACTTCCTCTACTACGCATCGGAAAAAGAGGTGCAAACTTGTAATATCCAAGCACTCATAATACACATAAATTGCATTAAGAGTGCAATGTCATCTGCCTGCCTCAAGATCCCCAAAGATGGAGAATTGAACATTGTTTAATCATAAGTTATCAATGCAAATATCCATAAGCTTGGGAAAAGAAGCAATTTCTTAGCCTTCCGAAGGAGGACATGCAAGGGACATAGCTGGTGAGGTGTCCCTTTTTGGCTGTCACCACTGCAGGAATGTGAAGGCAGCAGCCATTTTCTTCCTAGACAGGTTGTGCTCAGTTGGCAGAGTGATGCGCACAAGTTCTGCTCTCTCAGGGCTACTTTATCTTATTGTTATTTTTGTAATCTAAACCAAATGTCACTTGAAGATTTTTCTTTCCAATGATGAAAGCAGAAGGGAAGATAATGATTTCAGGCAAAGGAGACTAACCTCTCCTTTTCTCTAGCTTTAGATCCATCACACAACTCCTAACATTTTGAAACACCTCAAATACTGGGGAATTATTATTTGAGGGCCCCCTTCCCACCTGGGATGACAGTCCAGCACGGCTCAGACTGGGACTAGCTGCTGAGAGAGAGGGCCTGGCACGACAAGAAGCCTCAGGCGCCTCCTCAGGAGCTGCCATTTCAAGAGACCAGAGCTAGGGCCCTCCTGCGGGAACCCCCACAGCCTGCCTACCCCCCAGATCAGCTTATTTCTTGGTGGGGAAGAGGGCAGGCCCCTGCTCCACTCTGTGGGGACAGGAGGCGGTGTGTGAAGAGAGGGAGCCCCTTGCCTTAAATGGCTGCTGCCATCTTGAAGACGTTGGGGTGCCGCATGAGCGCTTGAGGGGTTTCATCTTCCCTAGCTTTGTGCCAGAGCCATCGGAATCCAGCCTGGGAGGCTCTCTTGCTTCTCTGCCCTACCCTTGCACCCGTCCAAGGTTTGGCCTTCTCCGTGTTGGCTCCTGCAGGCCTGCTGCCATCCACGAGCGCGGTGCGTAGCTGTCCCTCTCGCAGGGCGCTGTAGCTGTACAAGGAGTCGCTAAAGCAAGAAGCCCTACTCCAAGCAAACGCTTGGCAAACATTGGCAAACGCTTTAAAAATTGTGACAAGTTAATCATTTGAACAGAATAATAAACCAGGTGCATTGAAAAAAATGTAAAGAACGTCTTTCACTTTTTTATGTTAACACTCCTCCACCCATTTCTGTATACATTAGATAAACTTTCTAAAGCAAATGCACTTCCACATTTTTTTTAAAAAAGCTTCTTAATTAAAAATGT